GCCTGCAACCTAACCTGCTCCGGGGCAGGTTAGCCGCTCAGCATCAGTTACCATGGAGATCTAGCCGCTAAAAAGAGAACCAGCTTCGTAGGACCGGAAACCCAGAGTTACCCTGAAGTTAGCCGCTAAGACAGTGGTTCTCAAACTTTTTCTGTCAGGCCCCCCCTTTGGAGAAAAAAAAAGTCGGGCCCCCCAACACAAATAGTCAGGCTCAGTGGCGGCGCCAGAGATTTATTTTGGGGGTGCCGTGGGGTAGCTTGATGTTTCATAGAGGGTGCTCAAACATTTAGGGTTTCCCATTAATGTACCGAGCGCTACAGAGGAATGTTCTACTGCAACACACACACACACACACACACACACACACACACACACACACACACACACACACACACACACACACACACACACACACACACCACACACACACACACACACACACACACACACACACACACACACACACACACACACACACACACACACACACACACACACACACACACACACACACACACACACACACACACACACACACACACACACACACACACACACACACACACACACACACACACACACACACACACACACACACACACACACACACACACACACACACACACACACACACACACACACACACACACACACACACACACACACACACACACACACACAGTGTGTGTTACAATGAAGGCTCGAGGCATATAGGTGTAAGCAGGGGTCAAATGCTATGTTTATAGGTGGTGTGTGGACCTCACATAGGGGGGTCCTCACCTCCTCTAGGGGGGTCCTCACCTCCTCTAGGGGGGTCCTCAACTCCTCTAGGGGGGTCCGGGGGCAAGCTCCCCCGGGAAGATTTTTAAATATTGAAGTTAAAGCATCAATCTGCTGCACTTTGAGAGCAGCATGAGAGATCTATGGAGACCTCTCTCAACACCCAGATGAAACAGAACTGGAAACAGATTTACTTTTTCTTTATGGATATTTTACAAATCACTCTTTAAACTTTATTCTTGTTTTACTGTCAGATAGTATTTCATACCTGTTTTTCATTTATTCTCTTATTTTTGTATAACTATAATGATCATATAAACGTGTGCCTCGGAAATAATTGTTTACATTAATGGTGACCAAACCGTTTGAGACCCACTGAGATAACACTGAGAGTCCTTTAGCTCACTGAGTCTCTCAGTCTGACGGGAGAGGACTCTCAGTCTGACGGGAGAGGACTCTCAGTCTGAGAGGAGAGGACTCTCAGTCTGAGAGGAGAGGACTCTCAGTCTGAGAGGAGAGGACTCTCAGTCTGACGGGAGAGGACTCTCAGTCTGACGGGAGAGGACTCTCAGTCTGACGGGAGAGGACTCTCAGTCTGACGGGAGAGGACTCTCAGTCTGACGGGAGAGGACTCTACAGTCTGACGGGAGAGGACTCTCAGTCTGACGGGAGAGGACTCTCAGTCTGACGGGAGAGGACTCTCAGTCTGACGGGAGAGGACTCTCAGTCTGACGGGAGAGGACTCTCAGTCTGACGGGAGAGGACTCTCAGTCTGACGGGAGAAGACTCTCAGTCTGACGGGAGAAGACTCTCAGTCTGACGGGAGAGGACTCTCAGTCTGACGGGAGAGGACTCTCAGTCTGACGGGAGAGGACTCTCAGTCTGACGGGAGAGGACTCTCAGTCTGACGGGAGAGGACTCTCAGTCTGACGGGAGAGGACTCTCAGTCTGACGGGAGAGGACTCTCAGTCTGAGAGGAGAGGACTCTCAGTCTGACGGGAGAGGACTCTCAGTCTGACGGGAGAGGACTCTCAGTCTGACGGGAGAGGACTCTCAGTCTGACGGGAGAGGACTCTCAGTCTGACGGGAGAGGACTCTCAGTCTGACGGGAGAGGACTCTCCTCCACTTTGTTGTTGAAAAACTCCTTATATCCGTTAGCGTAGCTCGCTAGCACCAGAAGCTAACAACAACGATCTCCGGTACCGGTGCGCTCTCTCTCTCTCTCTCTCTCTCTCGCTCGCGCACACAAAATGGCTCGTTACACACACACACACACACACACAACACACAACACACACAACACACACACACACACGACCACAACCACACACACACACACACACAACACACAACACACACACACACACACACACACACACACACACACACACAACACACCACACACACACACACACACACACACACACACACACACACACACACACACACACACACACACACACACACACACACACACACACACACACACACACACACACACACACACACACACACACACACACACACACACGAGCTTAATGAAACACAGAGACCCAGACGTAATAGTAGTGCATCATATTATTTTCGAATCAATCATTTTTCAAAATATGATTATTTTTTTAATAACCATTTTCCCCACTTTGAGAACCTGGCGCTAAGAGAACATCCGGCTTCGTAGTATACCCCCCAGGTTCCTCACCTGAGATCACACACTCAGAACCAAACACAGGGACTCGAGCCTCTGCAGAACGTTTACATGCACTAACGCTACAGGAGAGGAGAAGTCTGGTCCCAGGGCCAGTGACCTGCAGGGCGATCACCTCCTGATCACACACACACACACACACACACACACACACACAACACACACACACACATCACACACACACACACACACACACACACACACACACACACACACACACACACACACACACACACACACACACACACACACACACACACACACACACACACACACACACTACACACACACACACACACACACTACACAACACACACAACACACACACCACACACACACACACACACACACACACACACACACACACACACACACACACACACACACACACACACACACACACACACACACACACCCACACACACACACACACACACACACACACACACACACACAACCACACACACACACACACACACACACACACACACACACACACACACACACACACACCACACACACACACACACACCACACACACACACACACACACACACACACACACACACACACACCTCGTAGCTTCAGAAAATAAAACCCTCTCTCTTTTCCTCCGTACCCAAATCTCTAAAACGGGGGAACAACAGAGCTGATCCAGATTTGACATCCGATATGACGAGGACCCACGGCCCTATCAGAAACAATTCCCGACGTAATAGTTTGTGTTTACATTAGCATCGCTAACACTCAGAGCTAAGCTGTACTGGAGAGCATGTGTGTGAAGAAGCAGGAAGTAAAAAGGAACTCCCCTTGTGGTAAACCGGAGAGAGAGAAAGCCTTTGAGCTCCATACTGTTTCAGAGAGAATCCTTGATCTAATAATCCTTGCGTTTCATCACCGCAGCATTTTACACAGTATCTGCCAGGTCCCGCATGAGCCCATAAGCTCCGCCCCCTCTTATTTTTTTATTTTTTTCAGTAAATAAATATTAACACACACAAACACGCACGCACACACACACACACACACACACACTAATATCCAAACAATATCAATATAGTGTATAATAAAAGTGTCCATTAAAAATTCAATATTTCGGATCAATCATTTTAACAAAATAAACATTAAAGCATGGGGCGTCCGGTGCCTTGCTCAAGGGGACCACGGCAGGGCAGGATCCTGAGGTTAAACTCACCTCTCTACAGGGGGTCCTGAGGTTAAACTCACCACTCTACAGGGGGTCCTGAGGTTGAACTCACCTCTCTACAGGGGGTCCTGAGGTTAAACTCACCACTCTACAGGGGGTCCTGAGGTTGAACTCACCTCTCTACAGGGGGTCCTGAGGTTGAACTCACCACTCTACAGGGGGTCCTGAGGTTGAACTCACCTCTCTACAGGGGGTCCTGAGGTTGAACTCACCTCTCTACAGGGGGTCCTGAGGTTGAACTCACCACTCTACAGGGGGTCCTGAGGTTGAACTCACCTCTCTACAGGGGGTCCTGAGGTTGAACTCACCTCTCTACAGGGGGTCCTGAGGTTGAACTCACCACTCTACAGGGGGTCCTGAGGTTGAACTCACCTCTCTACAGGGGGTCCTGAGGTTGAACTCACCTCTCTACAGGGGGTCCTGAGGTTGAACTCACCTCTCTACAGGGGGTCCTGAGGTTGAACTCACCACTCTACAGGGGGTCCTGAGGTTGAACTCACCTCTCTACAGGGGGTCCTGAGGTTGAACTCACCTCTCTACAGGGGGTCCTGAGGTTGAACTCACCTCTCTACAGGGGGTCCTGAGGTTGAACTCACCTCTCTACAGGGGGTCCTGAGGTTGAACTCACCCTCTACAGGGGGTCCTGAGGTTGAACTCACCTCTCTACAGGGGGTCCTGAGGTTGAACTCACCTCTCTACAGGGGGTCCTGAGGTTGAACTCACCTCTCTACAGGGGGTCCTGAGGTTAAACTCACCTCTCTACAGGGGGTCCTCAGGTTAAACTCACCTCTCTACAGGGGGTCCTGAGGTTGAACTCACCTCTCTACAGGGGGTCCTCAGGTTAAACTCACCTCTCTACAGGGGGTCCTGAGGTTGAACTCACCACTCTACAGGGGGTCCTGAGGTTGAACTCACCTCTCTACAGGGGGTCCTGAGGTTGAACTCACCTCTCTACAGGGGGTCCTGAGGTTGAACTCACCTCTCTACAGGGGGTCCTCAGGTTAAACTCACCTCTCTACAGGGGGTCCTCAGGTTAAACTCACCTCTCTACAGGGGGTCCTCAGGTTAAACTCACCTCTCTACAGGGGGTCCCTCACCTCCCTGCAGGGGGTCCTGAGGTTGAACTCACCTCCCTGCAGGGGGTCCTGAGGTTAACGGGTTGAACTCACCTCCCTACAGGGGGTCCTGAGGTTGAACTCACCACTCTACAGGGGGTCCTGAGGTTGAACTCACCTCTCTACAGGGGGTCCTGAGGTTAACAGGTTGAACTCACCTCCTTTGCAGGGGGTCCGGTGCTGGCTGTGTTGGGCTCGGTACGCCTCGATCACCTCCCACTCCCCGCAGTCCTTCTTGATGGGGAAGTTGACGCTGAGCACGTGGTTGCACGGTTTGATGACCCTAAGGATCCCGCGCACGCGCTTCCTCTTCTGCTCCTGTGTCTCGCGCGTCTTCAAGCCCTCCACGAGCCGGTCCTCCACGATGGCGGCCCCGCGATCGAAGAAGCCCTCCACCATGGAGAAGAAGTTCGGATCATCGCTGCTGTCCGCGGCCTGGCTGTAGGCCCGCGTGCCGCAGAGAGAGGCCCGCGGGCCGGAGAGACAGGCCCGGGGGAGCAGAGAGCCGAAGCACCGGTACATGATCGCTGTATTACGGAGGTTTAGAGCAGTTTAAAGAGTTCTGGAGGGAGAGCAGAGAGGAAGATCTGCGGGGAAACACTCTCTCTGTCCCGCAGCGCGAACTCCGCCTCCTGCCGCACCTCCTGCCACGCGTGCGTGATAACCTGTGCGCGTGCTCGTGCAGCTATATGTATTTAAAGTGTTGGCACGACTCGCACGAGACCGTTTATAAACAAACTGCTGTAACCCGGAAAAGTCGCTTGTGATGCTAAACTTTAGCTAAAGTTGAGCTAAAGCCTGTTTCTCCCCGTCCCTGAGACGCAGAGCGTGGAGATAAACCGACACAGAAGTGTAGAAAGTAGACATTATATGGCATATATGTGTATTTTATACTTATGTGACATGTTTTCAGTATGTTTGTGTTGTTTTAAATGATCGCCAAGCTAGCGAGAGTTGCTGCAAAGGACGCTTCCGGTTGGCAAAATAAAAGCATATTAACACAACTTTTCTTCATTCATTTAACTATTTAGTTTAATACGGAATATACACTCAAATAAACGGCTCAAGAACATTTAATTGTTTCTTCAACCAATCAATATTTAACCGTATGATTTTAATAAACAATAAGTTGGGGCTCTTATGTTGAAAACCAAAGGTTTTTACTGGCTAACTTTAACTTCCTGCCACGCGGATCCCGTCACCGCCTCGGGAGCACGCCTCGGTAAAACCCGTGTGTGTGTGTGTGTGTGTGTGTGTGTGTGTGTGTGTGTGTGTGTGTGTGTGTGTGTGTGTGTGTGTGTGTGTGTGTGTGTGTGTGTGTGTGTGTGTGTGTGTGTGTGTGTGTGTGTGTGTGTGTGTGTGTGCTTCACAAAGATAAGGAGAATAATTCTAAAATAATGTAAATATTTATAAATATTAATAATAATAAATTGAAAAAACTACGGCAAGTGATATTAAATCCTCAGACATGTTTTCCCTTTGATAGTTATTATTAAAATGGTCTTTTTCTCTTCTTTGGAGAATAAATGCCTTTCAGTATTCAACCCCCCCCCCCCCCCCCTGCTGACCCACCCCATCATCCTGCCCCCTGATTGGTCGAGCCGTGTTATTGTTCCCAGCTGTGAAACATCCATGATGGAAGCATGTTGGCTCTTTCTGTGGAGTCATGGTTATAAATCCAGATGTTGTTAAAAAGACCTTTTATTTAAGCTGAAATTATTTAGATTAAAAACTGTATGAAAGAAACACAAAAACCTCAAATGTCTTATTTTAAATAAAGTCTAACTTCTTTCTCTTGAATAAACTCCTGTAGTCTCTCTGCGGTCGGTATGTCTGACCGTCAGAAGATCCACGTGTTCCTGGGGGCTCCTCCCCCGACCCGTGGCCCAGCATCAGGGCCTCCAGCTGGGGGAGGGGAGGAGCGGAGACCCCCTGCTGACTGGAGGCCCCCTGCTGACTGGAGACACCTGGAGCTCTGCTGGCAGGACGGACACCTGAATGCAGCACCAGGTGAGAACACTTTGGGATTTGCTAAAAAACTTCAATACAAAAATGTGCTAAAATAAATCACACTAAAACATTTTTTTTTTAAATTGCAAAAAAAAAACGTTTGGATGAATTTTCCAAACTGAATGAGGAAAATAAAAATGATTTCCTCTGTTTTTCAGACGTGATAGGAAGTCGTCTGCCTGAAGAAGCGATCGTCCCGGAGAGCGAAGAACCTTTTACTTTACGGAGCGATGAGATGGATCAGGATCACAGGAAGCCTGAATCTGATTGGACGACAGAGGAAGACCCCCAACAGGAAGTCCAGTGTTCGGCTTCGGTTCTGGAGTATCTGGACAGCTGTTTCTCTGCACACCGCTCCCCCCCGACTCCTCTCTCCACACACACTCACTTCCTGTCCACCTGGACGCTCAGTCAGGCCTTAATCCTGAAGGGCAGGCACGCCGTCCAATCAGCATCCAGCCCTGAGAGAACTCTGCCTCCTCAAGCCCCGTCTGAAAATGTGTCACTTCAAGCTCCGCCTCTTCAGACTCTATCCCGTGAAACACGCCATTCCCAAGCCCCGCCTCCTCAACGTCTTCCTCCTCAAACCCCGCCCCTTCAAACCCCGCTTCCACAAACCCCGCCTCCTCAACTTCTGCCCCCTCAAATACCCCATTCACAAACTCCGCCTCCTCTCTCTCAAGCCCCGCCTCTTCAAACCCCGCCTCCTCAAGCCACGCCTCCATCGATGTCCTCCAGCACCCCGGAGCTCTTCAGTCCTTTGAGTTTGTCTCCTTTAGCGTCTTCCCTGGAGCTCTTTAGCGCCCCCTGCTGGACGGAGGGTGGTGTAGTGGTGGAGGAGTGTGGTGTAGTGGTTGAGGTAACCCCCGACGGCGTGCTGATGTCCCAGAATGCCGAGCGACTAGACTCCCCCTCCAAATCCCCGGACAAAAAGAGAGCTTGGATCTCAGAAACCTCCAAATCCAGAGGCGGTCCCACCCTCCTCAACCAGTGTGCCCTTCAGGGGGGTCGCTACTCGGTACTGGTGGCCGTGGTGCACCCCTCCCACCTGAAGGAGATCAAGGTGGGTGGAGCCGCTACGACACGTCGTCCACCGAGGGGTTCAGTGCTTGTTTCTGAATCAGGTGTCTTCTTCCTTGGTGTCTACAGGTGAGGTCAGGGTCCTGCGTTCCTCTGGCCTCCATTGTGGTGACGGACCAATCAGGAGTGGAGATGAAGGTGGTGCTGTGGAGGCGGGCGGCTTTCTGGGCGCTGACCGTCACCCCGGGGGAAATCCTGCTCATCACAGGTAAACAAACACACAGGTAAACAAATACACTGGTTTATAAACAACCTCCAGATCTTCATTTAGTTTTCAAAAAAAATAAAATGTAGAAATAATTATGTGGATTTGCTTAAAAACTAACTAAATAATGATTTTGAATTTGCAAAAAATAAAATTACAAATATTTAAATTTGTTAAAAACTTTGGGATTTTGATAAAAAAAACACTTAGGGAGGCTCCCAGGTGGCATCCTTACCAGGTGGCATCCTTACCAGGTGGTATCCTTACTAGGTGGTATCCTCACCAGGTGGTATCCTTACTAGGTGGCATCCTTTCAAGGTGGCATCCTCATCAGGTGGCCTTCTTTCCTGGTGGCATCCTCACCAGGTGGCATCCTCACTAGGTGGCATCATTACCAGGTGGAATCATTACCAGGTGGAATCATTACCAGGTGGAATCATTACCAGGTGGAATCATTACCAGGTGGAATCATTACCAGGTGGCATCATTACCAGGTGGAATCATTACCAGGTGGAATCATTACCAGGTGGCATCATTACCAGGTGGAATCATTACCAGGTAACCTAAGACCTTGAGACCACAGCTCCCCGGCTTCAGCAATAGAGGCTTTGAACACCGCCCACTCTGGTTCAATGTCCCTCCTCAGGGATGCCTGTAAAGGTCCGCCGGAGGTGTGAGTTGAAGGCCTCCTGGACTTGGGACTCCTGCTGGACTTGGGACTCCTCCAGACGTTCCCAGTTCACCCGCACTATACGTTTGGGCTAACCAGGTCTGTCCAGAGGCTTCCCCCGCCACTCGACCCAACTCACCACCTGATGGTGATCAGTTCTCCGCCCCTCTCTTTATCCGAGTGTTCAAAACATACAGCCTCAGGTCTGATGATACGATAACAACATCGATCATGGACCTTCTGCCTAGGGTGCTCTGGTACCACGTACACTTATTAGCATCCTTATGTTCGAACATGGTGTTTGTTATGGCCAATCCATGACTAGCACAGAAGTCCAGTAACAAACCACCACTCCGGTTCAGATCAGGGGGGCCGTTTCTCCCAATCACGCCCCTCCAAGTGTCTCCATCATCGCCCACATGTGCGTTGAAGTCTCCCAGCAAGATTAAAGAGTCCCCTTCAGGAGCCCCATACAGGACTCTTTCCAGGGTCTCCAATAAGGCCATATACTCTGAACTGCTGTTGGGTGCATAGGGTTAGGGTTCAACCGGGGACTTGTGAGTATCCCCACACCCGCCCGGCGCCTCACACCTTGAGCAACTCCGGAGAAGAATAGAGTCCAACCCCTATCCAGAAGTAAGGTTCCAGAGCCGACGCTGTGCGTAGAGGTGAGCCCAACCAGATCCAACTGGTAACGCTCCACCAGATCCAACTGGTAACGCTCCACCAGATCCAACTGGTAACGCTCCACCAGATCTAACTGGTAACGCTCCACCAGATCTAACTGGTAACGCTCCACCAGATCCAACTGGTAACGCTCCACCAGATCTAACTGGTAACGCTCCACCAGATCCAACTGGTAACGCTCCACCACTGGTAACGCTCCACCAGATCCAACTGGTAACGCTCCACCAGATCCAACTGGTAACGCTCCACCAGATCTAACTGGTAACGCTCCACCAGATCTAACTGGTAACGCTCCACCAGATCCAACTGGTAACGCTCCACCAGATCTAACTGGTAACGCTCCACCAGATCCAACTGGTAACGCTCCACCACTGGTAACGCTCCACCAGATCCAACTGGTAACGCTCCACCAGATCTAACTGGTAACGCTCCACCACTGGTAACGCTCCACCAGATCCAACTGGTAACGCTCCACCAGATCCAACTGGTAACGCTCCACCACTGGTAACACTCCACCATATCCAACTGGTAACGCTCCACCAGATCCAACTGGTAACGCTCCACCACTGGTAACGCTCCACCAGATCTAACTGGTAACGCTCCACCAGATCTAACTGGTAACGCTCCACCAGATCCAACTGGTAACGCTCCACCAGATCCAACTGGTAACGCTCCACCAGATCTAACTGGTAACGCTCCACCAGATCCAACTGGTAACGCTCCACCAGATCTAACTGGTAACTCTCCACCAGATCCACCAGATCCAACTGGTAACTTTCCACCAGATCCAACTGGTAACGCTCCACCAGATCTAACTGGTAACGCTCCACCAGATCCAACTGGTAACGCTCCACCAGATCCAACTGGTAACGCTCCACCAGATCTAACTGGTAACGCTCCACCAGATCTAACTGGTAACGCTCCACCAGATCCAACTGGTAACGCTCCACCAGATCTAACTGGTAACGCTCCACCAGATCCAACTGGTAACGCTCCACCACTGGTAACGCTCCACCAGATCCAACTGGTAACGCTCCACCAGATCTAACTGGTAACGCTCCACCAGATCCAACTGGTAACGCTCCACCACTGGTAACGCTCCACCAGATCTAACTGGTAACGCTCCACCAGATCTAACTGGTAACGCTCCACCAGATCTAACTGGTAACGCTCCACCAGATCCAACTGGTAACGCTCCACCAGATCTAACTGGTAACGCTCCACCAGATCCAACTGGTAACGCTCCACCAGATCTAACTGGTAACGCTCCACCAGATGCAACTGGTAACTCTCCACCAGATCCACCAGATCTAACTGGTGACTCTCCACCAGATCCACCAGATCTAACTGGTGACTCTCCACCAGATCCACCAGATCTAACTGGTAATGCTCCACCAGATCCAACTGGTAACTTTCCACCAGATCCAACTGGTAACGCTCCACCAGATCTAACTGGTAACACTCCACCAGATCCAACTGACGTTAAGACGTTAAGATGGACTTTTATTAATTCCCGTGGGGAAATTGTTTCTCTGCATTTGACCCATCCTAGTGTTAGGAGCAGTGTGCTGCCATTTTGAACGGCGCCCAGGGAGCCAAGTCCCTATCGACTTCGCCCCCAACTGGTAACTCTCCACCAGATCTAACTGGTAACTCTCCACCAGATCTAACTGGTAACACTCCACCAGATCCAACTGGTAACTCTCCATCTGATCCAACTGGTAACTGCACCAGATCTAACTGGTAACTCTCCACCAGATCCAACTGGTAACTCTCCATCTGATCCAACTGGTAATGATCCACCAGATCTAACTGGTAACTCTCCACCAGATCCAACTGGTAACTCTGCACCAGATCTAACTGGTAACTCTCCATCTGATCCAACTGGTAATGATCCACCAGATCCAACTGGTAACTCTGCACCAGATCTAACTGGTAACTCTCCACCAGATCTAACTGGTAACACTCCACCAGATCCAACTGGTAACTCTGCACCAGATCTAACTGGTAACTCTCCATCTGATCCAACTGGTAATGATCCACCAGATCCAACTGGTAACTCTGCACCAGATCTAACTGGTAACTCTCCACCAGATCCAACTGGTAACTCTCCATCTGATCCAACTGGTAATGATCCACCAGATCTAACTGGTGACTCTCCACCAGATCCACCAGATCTAACTGGTAACACTCCACCAGATCCACCAGATCTAACTGGTAATGCTCCACCAGATCCAACTGGTAACTTTCCACCAGATCCAACTGGTAACGCTCCACCAGATCTAACTGGTAACGCTCCACCAGATCTAACTGGTAACACTCCACCAGATCTAACTGGTAACGCTCCACCAGATCCAACTGACGTTAAGACGTTAAGATGGACTTTTATTAATCCCCGTGGGGAAATTGTTTCTCTGCATTTGACCCATCCTAGTGTTAGGAGCAGTGTGCTGCCATTTTGAACGGCGCCCGGGGAGCAGTGTAGGGAACGGTGCCTTGCTCAGGGACACCTCGGTAGCACTTGGTCTTGCCGGACTTGAACTGGTGACCTTCCAGTTGCCAAGCCAAGTCCCTATCGACTTCGCCACCACCGCCCCCAACTGGTAACTCTCCACCAGATCTAACTGGTAACTCTCCACCAGATCTAACTGGTAACACTCCACCAGATCCAACTGGTAACTCTCCATCTGATCCAACTGGTAATGATCCACCAGATCCAACTGGTAACTCTGCACCAGATCTAACTGGTAACTCTCCACCAGATCTAACTGGTAACACTCCACCAGATCCAACTGGTAACTCTCCATCTGATCCAACTGGTAATGATCCACCAGATCCAACTGGTAACTCTGCACCAGATCTAACTGGTAACTCTCCACCAGATCCAACTGGTAATGATCCACCAGATCCAACTGGTAACTCTGCACCAGATCTAACTGGTAACTCTCCATCTGATCCAACTGGTAATGATCCACCAGATCCAACTGGTAACTCTGCACCAGATCTAACTGGTAACTCTCCACCAGATCCAACTGGTAATGATCCACCAGATCCAACTGGTAACTCTGCACCAGATCTAACTGGTAACTCTCCATCTGATCCAACTGGTAATGATCCACCAGATCCAACTGGTAACTCTCCACCAGATCCAACTGGTAATGATCCACCAGATCTAACTGGTAACTCTCCACCAGATCCAACTGGTAACTCTCCATCTGATCCAACTGGTAATGATCCACCAGATCCACCAGATCTAACTGGTAACTCTCCACCAGATCTAACTGGTAACACTCCACCAGATCCAACTGGTAACTCTCCATCTGATCCAACTGGTAATGATCCACCAGATCCAACTGGTAACTCTGCACCAGATCTAACTGGTAACTCTCCACCAGATCCAACTGGTAACTCTCCATCTGATCCAACTGGTAATGATCCATCCGATCCAACTGGTAATGATCCACCAGATCCAACTGGTAACGCTCCACCAGATCCACCAGATCCAACTGGTAACTCTCCACCAGATCCAACTGGTAACGCTCCACCTCCCGCACAAGCTCCGGCTCCTTCCCCCCCAGAGAGGTGACCTTCTACTGGGTCTGGTCCGTCGAGACCCTCTGCTTTCACTGCCTCCCTTCTGGCACCCGTCGGAGGTGGAGGGCCAGCGGGACGGAGAAGCGGAGATGAGCCCGGCCACCAGACGCTCGCCGACGAGTCCTCCTTCTAGGCCTGGCTCCAGAAGGAGGACTCGGGTATCCTCACTTCTTATGATGTTTTTCATGAGGTCTTTGAACCAATCTTAGTCTGGTCCCTTGCCTGAGGCCAATTCACCATGGGAGACCCTAGCAGGAACACAAGGCAGGGCCAGGTTCACCGGGGATCACAAACCTCTCCACCACGATAAGGTGCTGGTTCTTCAGAGAGGGCAAACAAAATAAATAAATAAATAAATGTCATTGATAAAATAATAATTAGAATTTAGCTTAAAACTTTTTTAAATAGTTGTTGTTGTTCAGCTCTGCAGGTGAACGAGGACAAGTGGAGAGGAGAGACGGTGCTGCAGTCCACCTTCAGCAGCAAACTGCTCAACATGGGAAACATCGCAGACTCCGCCTCCCCGACAGGTACGACTGGACTACACCTCGACCAATCAGAAGCCTCCCCCACTGATAATAAGATCAAATTAATGTTTTTATAAATATCTATGAGATAAGAGGGAACTTTATTTATCCCCTTGGGGAAATGCAGGCGTTAAGAGCAGCAACAGGTCAGAGTGAAAGACAAGGTAAAAAATAAAGATGAAATAGAATAAAAATAAAATAATAATACAGCAACAATAAAGTGATAAAGTGACTATTGAAACAAGATATCACAGTAAAAAGTTGTGCATTTGTATGAACATGTTAAATATAGATAAATATTCTCTCTCTCTCTCTCTCTCTCTCTCTGCAGTTCCTCAGCAGGTGAGTTCTCGCTCGCTCCTCTCTCTCTGCAGCTACCTGCGGGAGCGACGCCCCCTTCTGGTGTCTCAGAGGCTCTGCCCCCCTCAGGACCCGAGGCTCCGCCCCCCTCAGGACCCGAGGCTCCTCCCCTACGCCACCCTGAGGTCACTGAGGGTCAACACGCTGGTGCACGCTCTGCTGCGCGTCACACACACACACCTGAGCACAGGTGAGAGTTCAGTAATCACCACACACACACACACACACACACACACCCACACACACACACACACACACACACACACCAGAGGCCTGTACTACGAAGCCGGATGTTCTCTTAGCGGCTAACTTCAGGTTAACTCCGGCTTTCCGGTCCTACGAAGCTGGTTCTCTTCTTAGCGGCTAGATCTCCATGGTAACTGATGCTGAGCGGCTAACCTGCTCCGGAGCAGGTTAGGTTGCAGGCTAGGAGCTCAACTCAGTGAAAGCACCGCCTGCTGACCAATCAGAGCTCAGTGTGCGGAGTTTAAAGCGATCCAGTCATATTACAGGAGAAAGGAAATACAGAAAAGCTGCCGTCGCAGGAAAGACGGCCGGCAACAATCAGCGACTGTGTGAACGTGAACATGAATAGAATATCACCTCCATCTTCAGAGCAATCTGACTATTATAACATTAGCGTTAAGAAAGCTTACTGAAATATCTGCCACAACATAAGTAACCGGATCAGAGTCACATTAAGTACAGTCCATATCACTTCATAATGTATCATCTCCTGATCTGAGTCAGCTGAGCCGTATCTGGCCGTGCAACACTCACAGCGTCACAGACTGGATGCAGAAGGATTATTTTAAGCAAAAAAAAAGTTCTCAATTACATTTTTTTTTCTAAAACAATTTTTGGGATTTGAGAAAAAGTGTTCGTAAAAAAAGAAGGATTTAGATTTTTTTTTTAAACGTTTGAATTTGCAACAAATTTGGGATTTGCTATTTCAAATATATAATTAAGAATTTGTGAACAAAAATATTTGAGGAATATTTTGATTTGCTAAACAACCCTTGATTTCAACACGCTGGTGCAAGCCATGCTGTGCGTCACACACACACACACACACACACACACACACACACACACACACACACACACTCACACACACACACACACACACACCAGAGAGCTCAGTGATCACCGTGGGTGTTTCTCAATGTCGAGGATGCTTGCTTGGTAGCACATGTCTTCCGAGTCACTTGCTTCAGAAGCGAGGCAAGAATCCTTCCTGGCATTTGGAAAACGAAGAGTGGAACAGGCGAGCAAGTGTGCGTCATATGAGAGGCCCCGCCTTACATTTGCCGCCACAGATTTGGGGAAATTGGTCCATTGTGGACATTTTAAGACCGCGGAGTCTACACATGAGCAGCCTCGAAAATTCTCGCTACGAAGTACGGTAGAAGCTCGGTAGAATTCCAAGTATGCTGGACATTGGAACAGTCCTTCGGCGGCACTTGATGACATAGTATACTTGAAATAGTGGCTCTGGAGCAGCCTTACTCGAGATTGAGAAACACCCCCTGTCTCTCTGCTGGTCCCTGAACGCAGCATCTCCCTGGTCCAATGGGATTCCTTCATGTGATTTTGGAGAATTATTATTACATTTTCCAGCTAAAGTCCTTTTATTACCCGTTTAAACTATGGTCTCAGAACAGTCTCATAATACACACATGCACACACAAATGTGTTCCGTCTCATATTCATGTAAATAAATACAGAAAAAAGTTTTACATATGTATTTTTGATCCACACATATTTGTTTTCCGTTTAAATCCTCTGCACCTGCAAACACAACCCGCTCTCTGTGCATTCTGTGTGGTTTTTTGAGACTCCCCTGACGGTCAGCCGATTCGTTCTTGTAATATTTTCTATCTATAGATAGATATATATATATAGATATATAGATATTTTTAGCAGGCTAGATCTCCATGGTAACTGACATATAGATATATATATGTATAGACAGGTCCATCTCAGGACACCTCCACTCTCAGTACAGCGCCACTTTCCGAACAGGAAATGCACGCAAATACAATATTTTATATTATGAAGCTACAGCTCCACTTTCCGAACCATTGATGAATGCTTGTGTTCACAAAAACGGCAGGCAAAACCGTTCTAAATGTGTGTTTCCTGTATAGCGAATACAGCTGCTTCATTTCTGTCTGTATGAAGTTGTGAGTGTGGAGGGAGCAGCTACAGGTTAGCCTGAGCGATCAGTGGCCTGTACGAAGAAGCCAGTTCAACCCTGGATATCTCCGAGTTATCTGGCTTAACTAACCCTAAAGGCCCGGACACATCAAACCGTCGGTAGATGTCTGGCCGTCGATGAGCGTCCTGTCGCCCCCTACTCAGATTGGTGTGTCCCGCCCCGTCGTGTCTTTTCGGCCGTGCCGAGCCTGCGGAGGCTGTCGGCAAAATAAATCACTCTGATTGGCTGTTCAGCTTAGCGAAACACTCTTTGCCTGAATGGGAGTGGAGCAGTACAGTATAATAATGCTACGGCTGCAACTGACAGTTATGTAGACACATATTTATTTTTTCTTAACGCTGTGTGATTAAAAGAATAAACACAAATAGCAGGATAGGCACATATTTGCTATATCTTGCCCCACTGAAAGGCACTGCACCGATGCTGTTAACATATTGGTATAGTTCATCCCTGTGCTGCTTGGCTCGAGCTGTAGCATGGAGCTATTTGTTGTTTGTATATCGCAGTCGGTCTTCCTGTTGTTGCCTCTTTTGAATGAAGAATACACACTACCGCCACCTGCTGGTAAGGAGAGTTATTGCCACTCACGCATGCGCAGTGCGTACGTGCTACTTGGGTGTCGGCTGAAGTCTTTGCGGTGTGTTCCAGTGCGAAACATGGCCGAGACGCTGAGACGTGAGGCGACACAACAGTCGGGTCCGTCGGGACGTGTTCTTTGGTGTCAGGTTGGTGTGTCAGGGGCCTTAAAGGCCGCTAGACACCAACCTGAGACCAAAGAACGCGTACCGAAGGCGTCCCAACTTTTACGTCCGCTACGTCGCCTGCGTCGGCTACGCCGCCCGCCTACGAACACACCGCAAAGACTTCAGTCGACGAGTGGCAATAACTGTCCTTACCAGCAGGCAGCGGTAGTGTGTATTCGTCATTCAAAAGAGGCAGCAGCCAATCAGAGTGATTTCTTTGGCCGACTTTCTTTGCGGGAGGTGTGAAAATGACGGTGCGGGACACACCAACCTGAGTAGGGCGCCGCGAATGCCCGACTGCCTCTGACTCCCAAAATCGGGTAGGTGTGTCAGGGGCTTAAGATGCGAGATCGCGCTAAGCGGTCCTATGACGCTGGTTATCAACTCAGTAACTCAACCCAGGGTTTCTCTGTCCGTCCGAGAGCGTGTTCACCTGAAAGGGGCGGGGTTAGCAACATTGGACCAATCACAAACAGGGACAAGTGTACTGACCAACCTGGTCTCACCAAAATACGTGAAATGAACACTTCTCCTTAGCACCGCATTGCGTGGTGGAGACACAGAAACAATGTAAAGGGGCAGTTCAGCCATCATGAATCAAAGTTTTGTGCTGTACACAAATATGAAAATGACGCATGGTGTATCTGATGGAGAACAAAGATTGTTGTGCACATCTGGCGTTAAATTGACCGGACTTCTTTCTGTGGATTGATATGACTGCACACAGTCCCCTGATCCTCTTGTAGCTGCGGTCTGTTCTCATTAGCAGCGGTCTCTACTGTAGACCATTTCACTTTGATTTGTAATCAAAGTGTTGATAGACTTTAGTGCATCAAGAGTTCCAAACATAAAAGACAAAATGACTCTTAAAGAACGATTTGCTTCAACGTTGTGTAAATATGTTCAATCAAAATGAAAAAACAACAACAAAAACAGCTGATTTAAAAGATGAAATATGAAGTTTGTTTGGGTGTGTATCTTCTCTGGTGGAGATATTTGAAATGCTTCTGTTTTCAGTCCAGCCGTCCGCTGGGAAAGCACAGACAAAAGGTATTCATTCAATAATTTAAACCTGATCAAAGATAGTTCAAATAATGAGAGTAGTAACATTATAATGATCAGAACTCCAACAACCAGAAATAATCCAATAACAACAGAACAGCCGTGAATATTTCACAACGTCATTTCTTTCACACAAACTGCTCTAATTGAATTCTCATTCTCTGAAGGTTGCTTGTCTACCCGTGTTAGGGAAGTCCAAGACAATGTGTGAAAATGTGTATTTTCTTATTTGTAGTTCTTAGGTCGGGTTTGTGTGCCCTGATGAACCTGGGGGCTGTGTTGTCTGGAACCTTGTGTTCCTGGTAGGGTCTCCCATGGCAAATTGGTCTCAGGCAAGGGGCCAGACTAAGATTGGTTCAAAAAGACCTCATGAAAGACGACACAGGAAGTGAGGATACCCGGCCCGGAGGAAGCCCGGTGTCCCCTTCTGGAGCCAGGCCCAGAAGGAGGACTCGTCGGCGAGCGTCTGGTGGCCGGGCTTGCCACGGAGCCCGGCCGGGCCCAACCCGAAAAGGCAACGTGGACAACACCTCCGCTTCTCCGTCCCGCGGGCCCACCACCTACGGGAAACAGCGATAGGGTCGGGTACGCTGCCAGAAGGGTGGCAGTGAAAGCGGAGGGTCTCGACGGACCAGACCCGGGCGACAGAAGCTGGCTTTGGGGACGTGGAACGTCACCTCTCTGGGGGGGAAGGAGCCGGAGCTTGTGCGGGAGGTGGAGCGTTACCAGTTGGATCTGGTTGGGCTCACCTCTACGCACAGCGTCGGCTCTGGAACCTTACTTCTGGATAGGGGTTGGAATCTATTCTTCTCTGGTGTATTTTGTGGCGGCAGCAGCGCCACTTACAGGCCTGGCATATGTACTACAGCGTTTCCAGCATTTCCAGCGGTCTAGTGTGAACGGACACGTTAATGAATCGAATGCGTATGAACGGAAGACTTTTTTGCGTTTGCGTATGCGTTTGACTGTATGCGTCCTCGTGGGGCCGGGGTCTAAGCCAAACTATATCCGGTCACAGAGATCTGCTATTTTAAAGGAAGGTCAACACATATCGACCCTAAATATAATCTATATTAAGAACGAGAAAAGTCTTAACATATATATCGTTCTTTGTAAACATATGACAAATGTGTGAGGGTGATGACGTCAGAGCATCGTCCTATG